GCGGTGGCAGCTCGGGCAGAGGAAGAGGCTCCACGCGGAGGGGGCTGCGCGGCGGGAGCAGCTCGGAGGGGCTCCAGCGGCTCCGCAGAGAGGCGGCTGCGCGACCGGGAGCGCGAATCCAACAGCGCAGGCTCCGGAGCACAGGGCGCCAGGACACAGCCCAGGATCCGGCCGCCCCCGGGACAGGCAGAGGACGGGAGGGCCCAGAACAGCAAGGACGCTCCCGCCCGGAACTGAGCAGATCAGCGGCCCCGCCCCGGAGCCTCCAGGCCCTGCACCCGAGCCCTGTAGTTCCTGCGGAGGCTGAATCCAGGCTTCCAGAGTTGCCATAGACACTGTGGCTGTTCCTCCTGGGGCCTCACGGGGTAAACAAGCCCCACTGAGCCCTGCAGCAGGCAGGGGCAGAGCAACTCCCCAAGTGCTAACACCTGAAAATCAGCACAGCAGGCCCCTCCCCCAGAAGACCAGCCAGACGGACCAGTTCCAGGGGAAGTCAAGGGACTTAAAGTCTACAGAATCAGAAGATACTCCCCCGTGTTTTTTGTTTTGTTTTCTTTTTTCTTTTCTTTTCGATTTCTGATTGCTCTCCCACCCCCCTTTTTTTCACCTTTCTTTATTTTTCTTTCTCTTCTTCTTCTCTTTTTTTCCTTTTTTTCTTCTTTTTCTTTTTTCTTTTTCTCTTTTCTTTCCTTCTCTCTCTTTCTCTCCTTTTCCCAATACAACTTGTTTTTGGCCACTCTGTACTGAGCAAATTGACTAGAAGGTAAACCTCACCTCAAAAGAAAGAATCAGAAACAGCCCTCTCTCCCACAGAGTTACAAAATCTGGATTACACTTCAATGTCAGAAAGCCAATTCAGAAGCACTATTCTACAGCTACTGGTGGCTCTAGAAAAAAGCATTAAGGACTCACGAGACTTCATGACTGCAGAATTTAGATCCAATCAGGCAGAAATTAAAAACCAATTGAATGAGATGCAATCCAAACTAGAAGTCCTAACGACGAGGGTTAAGGAGTTGGAAGAACGAGTGAGTGACATAGAAGACAAGTTGATGGCAAAGAGGGAAACTGAGGAAAAAAGAGACAAACAATTAAAAGACCATGAGGATAGATTAAGGGAAATAAACGACAGCCTGAGGAAGAAAAACCTTGTGAAATTGTGCAGCTACTCTGGAAAACTGTGTGGAGGTTCCTCAAAGAGTTAAAAATAGACTTGCCCTACGACCCAGCAACTGCACTGTTGGGGATTTACCCCAAAGATACAGATGCAATGAAACGCCGGGACACCTGCACCCTGATGTTTATAGCAGCAATGTCCACAATAGCCGAACTGTGGAAGGAGCCTCGGTGTCCATCGAAAGATGAATGGATAAGGAAGATGTGGTTTATGTATACAATGGAATATTACTCAGCCATTAGAAACGACAAATACCCACCATTTGCTTCAACGTGGATGGAACTGGAGGGTATTATGCTGAGTGAAGTAAGTCAATCGGAGAAGGACAAACATTATATGTTCTTACTCATTTGGGGAATATAAGTAATAGTGAAAGGGAATATAAGGGAAGGGAGAAGAAATGTGTGGGAAATATCAGAAAGGGAGACAGAACATAGAGACTCCTAACTCTGGGAAACGAACTAGGGGTGGTGGAAGGGGAGGAGGGCGGGAGGTGGGAGTGAATGGGTGACGGGCACTGAGGGGGGCACTTGACAGGATGAGCACTGGGTGTTATTCTGTATGTTGGCAAATTGAACACCAATAAAAAATAAATTTATTATTTAAAAAATGGGTTTGTATAAAAATATATTATGAGGTATATCATTGTTTTTAATGTATAATTAATATTCTAATTATGTTAGGAGACTGAATAGAACCATAGGTAAATGTGAATATTTTTCTCCTTTCTTCACTTTCCAAATAATTAGCATACCTTCTCTTTACATTTAAAAATCATTAAAAGCCAATGCAGTGGAGAACTTGATATTTAAAAGTACCTTATGGCAAATATTTCCATAGAATAAGGAATCCTCCTGTGGAAGACAATTTTTAGGGTTCCCTTTTCTCCGCATCCTCTCCACTCATTCATTTGGGGAATATGAATAATAGTGAAGGGGAATATAAGGGAAGGGAGAAGAAATGTGTGGGAGATATCAGAAAGGGAGACAGAACATAAAGACTTCTAACTCTGGGAAATGAACTAGGGGTGGTGGAAGGGGAGGAGGGCGGGGGGTGGGGGGAATGGGTGACGGGCACGGAGGGGGACACTTGACGGGATGAGCACTGGGTGTTATTGTGTACGTTGGTAAATTGAACACCAATAAAAATTAATTTATTAAAAAAATAAAGAAAAAAATAAATTTATCGATTCAGTAAAAAAAAAGGAAGACAATTTTTATAATATTTTTATATTGGATGCATTTAAAACAGGGTAGGCTGATATTTACTATTTATTTTATTAATACAAAAGATAATTCCTTAGAACTAGCATTTCTTTATAGTAGAGGTGATGATTTTCAGATATGAAATAATGTATTTTTACTAAATAGTAAAAATCTGGTTATGTTCATGTTGAGAGAAGAACCATTAACTGATGTCCACTAGTATGTTGAGAGAATAGAGAATGCTGGTTTGAGAAACTTTCTCATTAGCTTTGGTTGAACTTTCTGTAGGGAGAAGAAATGGAATCTGCCTTGCTGTGAAATTAGAGGCAGTCCTATTTCCACTAAGTCCGTCCTATTTTATTATATCTCCAAGAGAAATTTTATATTAACATCACTTAGCTGTGGTATTGGTCCTAGTTACTAGGCAAAAATTGGAGATGAGAAAAGCAGGAAAGTAGGATAGTTGCCTGCAATGGGCCAAACGCTAAACTAGACACTTCACATGCATTTCATTTTATCCTTATACCATCCTTATGAGCTAAGTGTCCTCTATGGCATTTTACAGGGGAGGAAACTGATGCTCAGGTAATTTAAGTAATTTGTCCAAGGATACATAATAATTAAGTACCAGAGCTCGAATTTGAACCCAGGATTATCTGACTCAAAATCAGTGCATTTATCCAATGATGTTTATATTAGGAATATAGGGGGAGGATACCTCATACACCTGTGTCCAAATATCTCTAGTTGGTTAGATAATCTATGAACTATGAATATTAGCTACTTACATCTATGTAGTAACAAATATTTTAGCACAATATACATATTTGATGGATAAAATGTAATTTAAAAGGTAAATAATTTAAATATGATGTGAAGATATTACAAAGAATTTTGAATTGCCATTTTGTTTTGGATGTTTGTGCTAATAATTTCTTCCATTAAAAGGAATAACTGAGAGTTAAATATAACTAATTACAGCAAAGATTGTTAGGATGTGACTTTAGGGAATTAGGCTGTTTCCAAAATACTAGTTACTCAGAGGTATTAGATGTGCATAAGAAGAAGGATTTCACATTAGGACATATTTACATCTTTATATAACTACTTTCCCAGCTATATGTGCTAAGCCTTTGAGAGGTCTTAGTGTAAAATTCATTCTGCGTGTGAGGAAATTCTTGAAAGGTTGTTCTATAATATGAAAAATATATATATAATGTGGGTCTAAGATATATTCATTTTGACACCCAAATACTATGTTTGGAGTTTTAAAAAAGAGCTTAGGGCCTTTTACTTGGTGAAGGGTTTTGGGAGGTGAGTCAGTAATATTTTACATCTGTTTTATTAAAGGTATATTAAAAATGAATTTCAGTGTCCTTTTTTCTTTTCATTTCTACCTTTTTTTGTTTTATAAAAATCTATCATTTTTAGTTTTAGTTTTTTATTTTTCTCCTTTTTCTGGGCATAGCGTCAGAGGCTCATTTGGGTGTATTCAACTATTTCCACTCCTCCTGAGATTATCAAGTATTCAACTTATGGAAGGTGTATTTAGAATGATATTGTCCAGCATACATGATTTCTACAACCTAACTCTGAAGTTGCTTTCAGCAAAGTCACTCTTGCCACCCATCTTTAGTTTCATAAGCTTTCCTTGAAGCATATTTTGTGTCGAGTACTGTAATAGGAGCCAGAGCACATCTATAGGTCAGAGTTCCAACGCTACAGATAGTCATTGCCCAAGGAGAAGAAAACAACTTGACCTCTTTTCCTGCCTACTGTTGTAAAATTTAAAAACAACAATCGTTTAACAATTAATATATTTTCCAAGGAACTTAAACCTTAATTAAACAAAAACAATTAATTATAAACTTTAGATGACAATGTTTTTGAACACTCAATTTTGGTGAAAAATCACACAGAAAAGAAATCATCTACTTTTCTTTTTAAAGATTTTATTTATTCATGAGAGGGAGAGAGGCAGAGACACAGGCAGAGGGAGAAGCAGGCTTCATGCAGGGAGCCTGATACGGGACTCGACCTGGGGACTCCAGAATCACACTCTGGGCCAAAAAGCGCTAAATCACTGAGCCACCCAGGGATCCCAGAAATCATCTACTTTTAAATAAAATATGAACTATACTTATAAATCACTTGTTTTTTTGGAATTATTTCAAACAATTAGTAATGATTAGTCAGTCTTCTATTATATATGCTTCTAAACAGAAGTTTCTATTTTATAGTTTTTTCTATTAATAATTTTTAAGCAATCTTCTCTGGGAGCCATTATTTGCCGTTGAATATTATTTTTTAAAGATGTATTTATTTATTTTTGAAATAGAGAGAGCACATGGGTGGGGGAGGGGCAGAGGAAGAGGGAGAGCAGGAAAGAAGCAGACTCCCGCCAGAACGCAAAGCCAGACACAGGACTAAATCCCAGGACCCCAAGACCATGACCAGAGTGGAAACCAAGAGTTGGATGCTCAAACAACTGAGCCACACAGGGACCCCTGCTTTTAAATATTCTTAATAATTCGAGCTCATATAGTTTATCCAAAATGTACAAAAATGTATGCTTTGTGATATTTAAATATATCTGTTTTGTTTGTTTTTCATTTCAGGAAGCAGAAGCTCAGGCAAAGCAGCAAGCATGAATCTTATGCACTCTGCCTTAAGCATCTTGAAAAAGGAGTCTTTATTGATTTTAAAATTATCTTGGCTCTAAAAGAAATGAGCCTAATGTTGAGATAATAGATTAGTTTTTCACATGCAAACAATCAAAATAAATACATAATTAAAATATGAATACTATGATAGGAGAATGGGAACTGCACATAAAATATTTAGATTTTATGGAATAGTATCATTATCTTCCAAGGCATTTTATGTATTTCAATGATTTTAGAAAGCAAAATCCTGTCCATTTTTTGGTATTGTGATTGACAGCTTAAATGTATCTGTAGTTCGATGTGGAGGAATTTAAAACACAGAGAGAAGGAATCTGTCTCTTGTTCCCAAATTGCCTCTTTAATTTTAGTTAACAAAAATATGTACTCTTGGTGTGATGTTATTGTGATTAAAAAGTAGTTGCAGGTAAAGTTTATGATATATTAGATATCATATTTTTGGTAATTATAACATTCCCATTATTTTGTAATTGAAATTTCTTTATACTAAACCATAGGTTTTCTAGGCCTCTAAATGTAGCCTTTCATTGTATATTTCAGTGATTAGACAAGTGAACTTTTACAAAAAATAAATGCATTAAGTTGACAAGTTCCTTGTATAACTGCACAGCTATGATGCAATCATATTTCTAAGTTGCTTGCCCCAGTGAAATATGCATATATATGTTATGAATGTGGGATAGAATGTAAGTTTAAAACAGCATACTTTGGCAAAGAACTCAGACTTTTAATTAGCTATTATAAAATAGTTCAGCACTCAGTGCCCAAGACTGGTTTTTGTAGGGTCTTTGCTAAAAAAAAAATCTTAGCAATTCCCCTTTTAAAACAACTTGTCATCATGAATCACACTACTTCTCAGATATTTGATATATTTATTTCAGGTTAGGCACATATTGTGTGAATTTGTTAATCTAAGCAGAGAGAATCTTTTCTGTGCTTCTATTCCAGTGAATAGCACAAGTATCTATAAAAGGGCCCATTTAAAAAAATGTTAATTATTAGAACTTCTAAGAAAACAAGAAACATTATGACTTAAATTACCCAGAAGATATACATATTGTGCTTTAATTCCACACTATTTTATTATGTTAAAAATCTTTTACTTTAAATTACTTTATCATATCATCTGATGTATGCAAGTCTGTTCTTTTTGCCAAAATCAACATACAATGAAGACATAGCTTTGCTTACTGAGATTCAAATGTGATGCAATGTTTTAAAATAAAGTCAGTCCTTTAGAAACAAAATTTATGTGTTCCCAGAGTTTCTAAGTATAATAGTAATTTAAGATGAGTAATACATGTTTCAGAAGGTGTGAAAGAAGAAAAGAACAATAACAGAAAGAAAATAATTTGAATACAGTTTCTAAGTTTCCTTTTTTAAGATTCTAAACTTTGCTGTATACACTAGAATCGCACAAGGAACTATTCCATTGTTTTCTCTACAAAAATAGGCCACGGAAAACAATAAACGAAACAGGGTGCCTTGTAATAGATTCTGGAAAATACTAAAAGAAGTTTGGTCAATAGTTTCTCTTGAGCTTTATTAAATACTGATGATGCTGTTTGTACTCATCTATGTGGATATTTTTTAGACTTATTTATTCAAAAATTATATTTCAGTTCATTTAAATTGTAAGAAAAGTAATAGTACTAAATTGCAATATTCTTAAATGATAAATAATAAGTGGCAAATCACTATTGCTTTTGTTGGCTCACTATCCTAACATTCATCATGGTGAATTATTTTGATATTATAAATGGGAGTGTAAGACATAATACTACCAACTAGCAATTCATAGTCTTATAAATACCTCCCTTATATTTTTGAAATCATTGTTATTCATGACATGGACATGCCAAAAGAGAAATAAATTAACATTTAATCCAATTGTTTAATATAATATTGGAGTTATATTATATACTCAGAGTAATGAAAGTGGATTATTGAAAACAATGTCAACCTACTTTTCATCCTTCAAGTTTACCTTATCTCCATTGAAGCATTCTTTAGTTTGTCTTTAAAAATCTATTTTTCATTCCAATCCAAATTTTCACAAGATGGAACTAGACACTATAATATCTTTGGAATTATACCTTCATTGGTGTGTTTTCTCATAGGAGAAATAAATCTCATACTGTTGCTACTATGACATTTTGAAAAATAAAAGCATATTTTCTGTTATATGAATAGGTTGTTTCAAATAAAAGGATCAGTATACTATATATACAGGCCGATGAATTATAGTGTTAAGAGACATCTCTCACATTTACCTTGATGAGTACTGAAAAATATATGGAATTGTTGAATTGCTACATTGTACACCTAAAACCAATACACCACTGTATGTTTTATTGCACTGAGATTTTTTTACTATAGACTAAGTTAACAATGTCAAAATGGAATCCATCAAAAGAAAATGACATTTTTGGCTTCAGAGTTAAGATAAATATCAAATTATTCTAAACACCCAAAAATCAGTCTGAGAACTGACAAAACAAACTGCATATCTAGAGGTAGTAAAATGGCTAATCATGAACTGTAGGAGCTGTGGAGAGTCCATTTGGAGGAGAAAATAATTGCAGATGTTGCAGAGAGGAGGGAGTCCTGATCACAGACAGATGTGAGAAAGAGAGAAAGAGTAAAAGCATTCAAGAGATTGCCCAGGAAAAACTCTTTCCCAGACCCATTGACTGAGAAAAGAAGAGGGGCGGACTACTGTAAGTTTATAACCTAGAAGAGCTCAAAGTCTGAAGTTTTAGAAGTCTACACCATTGCCAGAGTCATGCCTCATGGGCTTAGTGGTGTACCTAAGGGGAAGGAGGGCTGAGGCCTAAGAGCAGGCAGTGTGGTCTGAGGATCCTCTGGGTTACACGGGGAGAAACAGTTCCCCTCTTGGAGTGCATTTGGAAATGGTGGCATGGCCTCTCTGGGGACAAAAGAGCTGGCAGGAGCTAATGTATAGCCCTGCTCACTACCATAGGAACAGAGACAACTGCTGATAGCAGCAAAATTTAGTGCCAGCTTTTTTTCCCAATGTACCATAAATTCTGAACTGCTGCATGGTCATGTGACTACTTTCCTGGGACAGACTGGCACAAGACACAGTTTGGCAAGACTGTCTCTTAGAGGATCAGTGTAGGTCTGTGCCAAGTAGGTCCCCAAAATTTGGAGTTTTGAAACCCAGCCATGGGCCTGAGATAAAACTCAGGGGTACTGTGCTGCCTGGAAGAGAGACAGCTTGAACAGACATGGTGAAGGCAGGGACCTGATGGAAGCTAGGAACATTAGAGGGAAGATTGTTTTCTCTTCTTTGAGAGCTTCATAAAGTGCAGCAGGTGTGAACTCCCTGCTATGAGACCAAGAGAATAAGACCCTGCCATCCCCCCTCATCATCACTGACCAACTTCAGTGAGCAACACAGCACCCCTGGTGGAGTCTCCAGCCACTTACAAAAACCACCATCAGGGAACCTTGCAGGTGTATCTTCACTAGAGCAAATCCACCTGAGAAATTAGCACAGCAGGACCCTCCCCCAGAAGATCAGTACAAACCCCTTGCACACACCAGATCTATGGATCACAAAGCTTCAGCTCTAGGACAAATAGTATCAGGTTTCTTTTTAAAAAGCAGACTAAAATATGCTTAGGTTAAACTTGTCACACAGGATAAAATGTCCACTCTCCACTACAAGGAGAAACTCTACAGAGGACTCACCTAAGGGAAGGAGTAACCAAAACACAAAAGTAGAGCACACACTTTGAAACACCTTGTCAAGCATCAGGCCTAGGACAGTGTAGGACCTCTTCTAACTATAGCAATTACACTCAGGAGCAGGAATATAACAGGCTTACCTAATTATCACACACACACACACCAAAACAAAACAAAACACCAACAGTGACTCTCATAAAATAACAAGCCAGAAGAATTCACCCCACCCACAGAGAATAGGAAGAAGTAATGGCCAGGGACTTAGTCAAAACAGATATAAGTAAGATGCTAGAATCAGAATTTAAAACAACAATCAAAAAAAAATAAAACAACAATCATAAAAATACCAGCTGGGCTTGAGAAAAGCATAGAACACACTAAAGAACCTCTTCCTGCAGAGATAAAAGAACTAAAAATTAGTTGGGCTGAAATTTTAAAAATACTATAATTGAGAAGTGAAACTGACTGATGCAAAGACAATGAGGATGGACAAAGCAGAGGAACAAATCAGTAATACAGAAGAAAAAATTATGTAAAATAATAAAGATGAAAGTAAGAAAATAAAAGGTAATGGAACATGAAGGTAGACTTAGGGAACTAAGTGACATATTAGAATGTAATAACATTTATATCATAGGAGTCCCTGAAGAAGAAGAGGGGAAAAAAGGAATAGGAGGTTTATTTGAGCAAATTATAGCTGAAAATTTCCTGAATCTGGGAAAAGAAACAGACATCAAAATCCAAAAGGCACAGAGAACTCATCACATTCAATGAAAACCAGCCCACACCATGACATACCCTACTCAAATTCACAAAATACACAGACAAGGAAAGAGTCCTGAAAGCATAAACGGAAGACAAATAAGGCTAACAGCAGATCTTTCCACAAAAAGGTGGCAGGCCAGAAGACAGAGACATAATATATTCAATGTGCTGAATGGGAAAAATATGCAATCCAGAATACTTTACCCAGAAAGGGTGTCATTCAGATAAGGAGTTTCCAAGCCAAACACAAACCAAAGGAGTTTGTGACCACTAAACCAGCCCTGCAAGAAATATTAAAGGGAATTCTTTGAGTAGGAAAGAAAGAACAAAAGCAACAAAGACTAGAAAGGAACAGAGATCATCAGAAGCATCAACCTTACAGGTAACACAATGCTATTAAATTCATATCTACCAATAATCACTCTGAATGTAAGTAGACTAAATATTCCAATCAAAAGGCATACAGTAACAGAATTGATTAAAAAAAGAGACCCATCTATATACTGCTTACAATAGCCTTATTTTAGACCTAAAAACATCTGAGACTTGAAAGTGAGGAGATGGGGAACCATCTATCATGCTAAAGGAGGTCAAAAGAAAGGTGAAGTAGCCATACTTATATCAGACAAACTAGATTTTAAAACAAAGTCTGTAACAAAAGATGAAGAGGGGCATGATATCAAAATTAAGGGATCCATCCATCAAGAAGATCTAATAATTGTAAATTATTATGCCCCCAACTTGGAAGTACATGCATATATAAATCAATTAATAATAAATATAAAGAAAGTCATTGATAATAGTACAATAACAGTAGGGGACTATAACACCCCACTCATGGCAATGGACAGATCTTCTAAGTAGAAAATCAGAAAGGAAACAATGGATTTGAATGACAAATAAGACCAGATGAACTTAACAGAGATATTCAAAACATTTCATCATAAAGCAGCATAAAACAAATTCTTTTCACGTGCAGATAGCTCATTTTCCAGAAGTGATCACATACTGGGCCACAAATAAGCCCTCATCAAGTACAAAAAGATAAAAATCACATATGCATATATTCAGATGACAAGGCTATGAAAGTTCAAGTTATCATAAGAAAAATTTTGGAAAGACTATTAATACATGGAGGTTAAAGTGCATCCTACTAAAGAATGAATGGGTTAATGAGTAAATTTTAAAAAAATATATGGAAGCAAATGAAAATGAAAACACCATGGTCCAAAACCTTTGGGATGCATAAATGGAGATCCTAAGAGGAAGTTACATAGTAATACAGGACTACCTCAGGAAGCTAGAAAAGTTTCAAATACATACCTAATCTTACATGTAAAAGAACTAGAAAAGGAACAGCAAATAAAGCCTAAAGCCAGAGGAGGATGAGAAATAATAAAGAATAGAGCAGAAATAAATGATATAGGTGAAATGAAAAGAATAGCAGAAATAAATAGATATGAAATAAATGATATAATAAATACATAGTAGAACAGATCAACAAAACTAAGAGATAGTTCTTTGAAAGAATTAATACAATTGATATAACCTTAGCCAGACATATCAAAAAGAAAAGAAAAAAGAAAGGACCCAAATAAATGAAATCATGAATGAAAGAGGACAGATCACAAACAATGCCATAAAAATATAAGCAATTATAAGAAAATATTATGAAAAATTATATGCCAAAAAACTGGGAAATATGGAAGAAATGAATAAATTCCTGAAAACACACAAACCACCAAAACTATAACAGGAAGATGTAGAA